CTTTCTCTTTCAGATTGAACATGTACTAATGTCTGACATGTCTGTGTTTGTGTCTCTCTGCTGCTTGTAGATATGTGTTGTTTATTCAATTTGTGTTTGATGTGTGAACTTAACAATGGTAGTATTGTTGCTATTGTAGATGTGGCCAGACCTTATTGGGAAATCTAAAGATGGAGGAATTGATGTCATTGAGACTTATGTTTTCTGGAACTTACACGAACCCGTTCGAGGCCAGGTTCGGTTCTTTTCCATTTTCATATTCTTCTTCTGTCTTCCATTCACTGCATTTTGTGACTTTTCAAACTTAAATGCTTGGAGCATTATTCTCTAAGATTTATCAGATACTGTATTCTGAATTTCTATTAAAAGACATCAAATTAACGATGGATTACATATTTTGGCTTGGCAGTACAATTTTGAAGGTAGGGGGGATTTGGTTGGATTTGTGAAGGCAGTAGCAGCAGCAGGTCTATATGTTCATCTCCGGATCGGTCCATACGCTTGTGCTGAATGGAATTACGGGTAAAATTGGATCTTTTTAAAGATAGTTCCATATTAGTATATAATCCTTGGCTTTAATTTCTTTGTTTTCTTCTTAAACAGTGGTTTCCCTCTTTGGTTACATTTTATTCCGGGAATTAAGTTCAGAACTGATAATGAACCATTCGAGACAGAAATGCAGCGGTTTACGGCGAAGATTGTGGATTTGATGAAGCAAGAGAAGCTCTATGCATCACAAGGAGGACCTATTATTTTATCTCAGGTTTAATTCTCTTAAAGTTATAAAAATACAAACCAATTTTTCTTTTTTTTGTAGATTCTTAATGACCTAATGCATAGTCCTTTAATGTTAAAATATTTACTTGTTTATTCCAGATTGAAAATGAGTATGGAAATATTGATAAAAGCTATGGTCCTGCTGCTAAAACCTACATCAATTGGGCAGCATCGATGGCTACATCTCTTGATACAGGCGTTCCCTGGGTTATGTGCCAGCAAGCCAATGCACCTGATCCAATTGTATGTTTTCTCCTTTTAGCTATCCACAGTTTTATGCAGTTTATGTTTTACCGGAGTATATTTTTTTAGCCAAAGCCAAAAGAATAGGCTCTGTGCTCATCACACGGTTTGATTTTACTATCTTTATGATAGAGCTATCTTACCATGTTGATGTCTACATTCATCCTACTTGGTTGTTTATTTTCATAAGATTGTGTCTTGAATGCTTACAGATTAATACGTGCAATGGATTTTACTGCGATCAATTCACGCCAAACTCTAACCAGAAACCAAAAATGTGGACTGAGAATTGGACTGGATGGTTAGTAGCGACTTTTCCTATTTATATCATTTTGTAATTTGAATGGAGTACTCAAAATATGATTTGATTCAACTTTTTCCCCCTATTGCAACCTTTTAAAATCATAGGTTTCTTGCATTTGGAGGTGCTGTGCCGTACAGACCTGTAGAAGATCTTGCATTCGCTGTTGCACGTTTTTTTCAGCGAGGTGGAACTTTCCAAAATTACTACATGGTAATGCAACCTCACATGTAGTACTATTGTCAAAGAGTGATTATAACTGTGCTAGAATTTGATCAAACGTTATTGTCTCATAATATGCTACTTACTACAAAATGTTATCAGATAACGGCTGATGCTGTGCTGTAGCACTGCAGCATAGCTGAGTTTTAACAAACCCCTATTTTTTGCTATTCCCTATTGACAATATCGCATGTAGTTTAAACTCAGCTAATATGTAAGATAGTAAACCAACTGATACCCCAACTTTTTTTGCTTGCTTGCTCTGAAATAGTACCATGGAGGGACTAACTTTGGCCGAACAACTGGTGGACCTTTCATTTCTACAAGTTATGATTATGATGCACCTATTGATGAGTATGGTATGCAATCTTTCAAATTTCATCTTTATTTTGATGGTATAGAAATATAGAAACTAGCTTGCTTATTCAATCAAGAAGATAAATAAAAAGAGTTGCAACTCAATGTTATTCGATATATAGAAGACAATAAAAATGAAAAACGTGTTATTGCCTGATGCAGGAATTATTAGACAACCCAAATGGGGGCATCTTAAAGATTTGCATAAGGCCATAAAACTTTGTGAAGAAGCACTTATAGCTACTGATCCAACAATTTCATCTCCTGGTCCAAATCTAGAGGTAATAAATAAGAGGCACTTCGAAGCTTTCATCATAGTTTGCTGGTTTAAGTTTTAAGTTAATCACTGACATGAATGGTTTCGTTATATCTCTTAATATTTACTTTTCAATCTCAGACTTCAGTTTACAAGACAGGATCTGTATGTGTGGCCTTCCTTGCTAACACCGGCACGAACGATGCAACGGTTACCTTCAACGGCAATTCATATCACTTGCCTGGATGGTCTGTGAGCATTTTACCAGATTGCAAGAGTGTTGTTCTAAATACTGCAAAGGTTTGCCTCATCAACTTCCAGTCACACTATATAGTTCAATTTACTAAACTAATTATTAAACTTCGTGTGATTAATCAATCTATTGGTGATATCTTTTCTTCTATTTATTCTTTTCAAAGTAGCATAAACTAAAGTTATTTTTTCGTACGACAGATTAATTCTGCATCTACGATTTCAAGCTTCGCAACTGAATCTGTAAAAGAAGAGGTTGATTCTTTGGGGAGTTCAAGTTCGGGATGGAGTTGGATTAGTGAACCGGTCGGTATTTCAAAGGATGATGCATTCACAAAATCTGGACTTCTTGAACAAATAAACACGACTGCAGATAGAAGTGACTACCTGTGGTATTCATTAAGGTATAAGGAATTTCAAGGTTGAAATAGCTTTATCTTGACGATTGTTTTTCCGTGCCCATGTTAACCTTTTTCAAATTGTTTTGAAGCATTGATGTTGAAGATACTGCCGGTGCTCAACCTGTTCTTCACATTGAATCCCTTGGTCACGCTCTTCATGCTTTTATAAATGGGAAACTTGCAGGTATCTTTCTTTACTTCAATGACGTGTTTCACGAATAATGTAATGAAATTTCGATATGTTAATACCAAGAACTTTTTCAGGGAGTGGAGTAGGAAACAGCGGAAACGCTAAGGTCAAGGTGGACATCCCTATTACACTTGTATCTGGAAAGAACAAAATTGATCTCCTGAGTTTAACAGTAGGACTACAGGTTCGTATTTTCTGATTATAAAGTACAAAATATGCATCTACGTGTTCATTTCTCAGCTAATGTGAATTTTATGCGCCACAGAACTATGGAGCTTTTTACGACCTAGTGGGTGCGGGGATCACTGGTCCAGTAACATTGAAAGGTTTGAGAAATGGAAGTACTGTTGATCTCTCCTCACAGCAATGGACATACCAGGTTAGTCTTGGCTTAACTTAAGGCCTGTTTTTGTTTCTCCTTCTGAGTTTCTTTAATTAAGTCATAGATTACATGTCTGTATTTTTGTGAATGCAGATTGGTCTTCAAGGTGAAGATTTAGGTTTGTCTAGTGGAAGTGTTGGACAGTGGAATTCACAATCTAACTTACCTACAAATCAACCTTTGACTTGGTACAAGGTAATCTTAATAAGAATAGAGCATTTGTTAAAATTCTCATGTTTTTCTTCAGCTGACTAATCTCAATGTGTTATATTAGACGAACTTCGTTGCTCCTTCTGGAAGTAACCCAGTTGCAATTGATTTCACGGGGCTGGGAAAAGGAGAAGCCTGGGTGAATGGACAGAGCATTGGACGATACTGGCCAACATACGTCGCTCCAACTTCTGGCTGTACTGACTCATGCAATTATAGAGGATCCTATTCTTCATCGAAATGTCTCAAGAACTGTGGAAAACCATCACAAACATTGTAAGTGTTGGACATTTTTTCTACATGAATCGCACCTAATTAGTGCCAGCATGATCGCACCTGAAAACTAATGTGTTTTGATTGTATATATGCAATTGTTCGAATAAAGTAGACCTTTTAGATACTCATTGAGTCACTGATCCTGCAGATATCATGTACCGCGGTCGTGGTTGCGATCAGACAGCAACATTCTTGTATTGTTCGAGGAAAAGGGAGGAGACCCTACAAAAATATCTTTTACTACAAAACAGATAGAAAGTGTGTGTTCACATGTATCTGAATCTCATCCTCCACCTATAGACACATGGAATTCGGCTACAAAATCAGAAAGAAAGGTTGGTCCCGTACTGTCATTGGAGTGCCCTTATCCTAATCAGGTGATCTCTTCTATTAAATTTGCAAGCTTTGGAACTCCTCATGGAACTTGCGGAAACTTCAACCACGGACTCTGCAGCAGCAATAGGGCTCTATCCATTGTGCAAAAGGCCTGCATTGGATCAAGCAGTTGTAATATCGGAGTATCAAATAATACATTTGGAAATCCATGCCGAGGAGTAACAAAGAGTTTAGCTGTTGAAGCTTCTTGTACATAGACACGTCTCTTCTCTAGCCTTCCTACTACTGCCTAGCTAGAAGTCAGCTAATAGATCAAAATGATTCCTGATTAGTCCAAGTAAGATGCTGTTAAAGTTGTAAATTAGAGGGGAATGTTAATGCAAAACAGTGCATTGTTCATTCCAATAAAATATTTGAAAAATAAAAAGTGATCTCTAATGTCTATGAGTTTTTATGCTATTTTTACGCAAATGTTTGGTTTCTGTCTCACAAGACAAGAAGTTGTTCTCATATAAAACATAGGTGGAATGAACCTCTTAAGGCAAATTGAACCTCCATTTTGGTAGGATAAGGATATAATCACTTTAACAAAAGATCAAAATAAATTATTCTTCACAACACAAAAGAAAGTACATATTAATATTAATCGGTACAAATTTCGACGAAAATAAGGATCATGGGCAACATTTTAGGCCCTTATTTATCTGGAAACATTACAACACAACAAAACTAAAATGAAAGACATCTCTGATTCAATCACAGCGCATCAGTTTAATTTTTCATGATCTGTGATATGATCAATATTGAGCAATCAGCCCTTGGCTAGTAGAAGGCCTCTCGAACCTACAGAATTTGCAGGATGTTGAAAAGAGAGATGGAGTTTGGTACTTGTCTTCTCCTCCCATCATTGGCATAGAAACACCTCTCTTTACAGAACTAACATAACTTGGCCTATAAGTTTGACCCAAAACTCCTTCAATAAAATCAGTAGGATTTTTGAACTTGAACTGTGTCTCCAAATGAGCAAAAGCATCATCTGATGGCAATTGGTAGTTATGAGCTTTGTTTTCTTTTTCTCCAATAGGCCTTACCCTTATGTCCATTTCAAGCAAACCAGAAACTGTCACTCTAACATTGTTTTTATCATCTGTTCTCTCCACAACCACTTCCCTTTCATCTCCATTAGTCTTCCATTCCGCGTCATTGTCAATAGGAATAGTTACTAGTTCTCCGTCCCATTTCACGGTAAGAGAGTCAACATTGTCATTCCATTGAGTTACTCTATTGGCTGCAATAACAAGAGTGTGAGTGTCGAACATGACAGAAAGTGCTTGCACCCATGTGTAGTCGCGTGTCCTTCCCTGAGGTCGAGTACCAATGAAGTGCGCGTTGATTTGGAATTCGTCGTCTGAAACAATGGCAAAGTTTCCTCCCGTGGCTCCGTGGAAGTAGAACATCACACCGTCACCACCAACAAAGCGAGGATCATAGCACAATGAACCAAAGCCATCACAGTTTGCTCTTCTAACTGCAAATAAACCATGCAAACTCAACATTAATTCAGTATTCTACTTGCTCTATGTATACTAATTTTATTTGAATATGATACTGCCGTAAAAAAAATTTACAGTCATCTTACCCTTGCAAGTGGCTTCACATTTGCTGCTGCAGTCAAGGAAACAACCTTTAACCTTCTTGTTCTTCTTTGGCTTCCTGACTTTGCACTCTTCTGGACATACAAGTGTCTTGAATTGACAACTATTTTTCGCCTTGCAGAAAGCTCGCTCCTGTCCCGATTTCAGAGCTGGCAACTTTTCAGACTTTGCAGATTCATCATCTTTCGGTGTCTTCCTTTTTGGATCTTTCTCCTTCTCCTTTCCGTTGTTACCTTTTCCATTACCATTATTCTTCCCATTGTTACCGTTACCATTATCCTTACCGTTGTTACCGTTACCATTACCATTACCGTTGTTACCGTTGCCGTTTCCTTGGCCTTGAGCAATGGAAGCTTCCATGGCGATAAGTAAAACAAAGAAGGCCACACAGATACTCAACTTTCCTCTAGCCATCTTTTGTTACTTTGTTATGCTTATTTAGTGATTTTGAATTGCTTCAATGATATAGAGGATATATTGATTGGTGGAAAGGTGCATGTATTGAAGAAAATATATAGAGACTTTGGCCTAGAATTTAGGCTTAAGATTAGCATGCATCCTTTATCTAAGTACGTTTCTTAAAGTTTATGATTGCTTGGATTAGTGATATAAAAGCTTAGTAATAGTATTTTCTTAAAAACAATAAAATGAAACTTTTAAATCTTGAGGTTCAATTCTACAATACTACTCGTTAACGTTATGAGTACGATAATGTCACGTAACTAATTTTATTGTTAGATTGTGATTTAAGACTTGGTTATTGTAAGCTTTGACGGTGAGAGCATTAGGAATGAAACTAGCTGTAATATAACGTGGTTTTATGTCTAGAGTTTAGTACAAGGGACTTCAAGTGATGGCATGTGAGTTTTATATTGTGTACAACAGCTTCCCCGATGACTACTTTACATGAAATGAAAGTCAACCGCACAACACACTTGTTAATCCAAGGAACAATCTCACCGTCTATTAGCAGGAGTTTAAAGGCAAAGCAAAGTTCCGATGGACTTGAATTCTTTTCCTACGTGGAGAAAGATTTAAATATAAATAACTAATTTATCTCATTTATTTAAGTGAAGAATGTCAATTTAGAATTAAGAGAGATAGAGAGAAAATAAAGATTCAAAAAGAGAGAAAAGATGAGAGAAACTCATTCTCGTATTTTCTGCATCAGTTAAAACAACGATTTCCGATTCGTTCACCGTTGAATCAAGTTGAAATTTGGTGGACTTGTTCACAACAGATATATCTAACTTTTGATTGATGGAATCTTCAAAATAAGATCTAAGTTGAGAGATATCGACTTCGCACTGAAGCTGCAGATTTGGAAAATTTTCCAGCTTTTTGATTCTTATTTGTAAGTTAGTTTGCTTTGTGATTTGCAGTTGTTATCACTATTTTGTTAATCACTTTAAGACTCTCTTGTATCTCCAATTGATTATAGTGGACATTTTCTTTGGTCAGGACGATTCGTGGTTTTTACTCTCATATTGAGTGATTTTTCACGTTAAAAATATCGATGTTCTTTTGTGACTTTATTGTTCGATTTCCGTCTTATATTTATTGTTGATCCTCAAAGTTCCTATAAGTTTGTAAAATATTATATCTGATGCGTATTAGTCTATTACTATGTCTTAATTTCTCAACGGAGTGACATCAGAGCTCTTGGTTAAGGGTTATTTTACTTGTTCGAATGATGGAGTCAAATACAAAGATAGAGATGGTATTGTTGAATGGTTCTAATTACCATTTATGGAAGTACAAGATGAAAAACTCACTATTTGTGAAGAAATTGTATTTATCAGTTTTTAGTTTCGTAAAGTCAGTTTTGTGTCTGGTGAAGAATGAGAGTTTGAACATCAATAGGTATGTGATTTTATTCGACAATATGTAGAAGATAATATTTATAATCATATTGCGAATGAGACACGTGCAAAAACTTTGTGGGAGAAGATAGAGTCCTTGTGTGCCTCTAAACCATAAAATATTAAATTGTTCTTGTTGAATAGCTTTATAAGTTTGAAGTATATGGAGGAGACTTCTATTTCATATCACTTGAGTGAATTTCAAAGGCTCCTTGATCAAATGTCAGGAATGGGTATTAAATTTAATGATGAACTTTTTAGACTATTTGTATTGCTATCTTTATCAGAGTCATAGAGTTTGTTCCGTTGTGAGAAGACAAAATCATATTAATTATTTAAAATCTCTTTTTTCCTTCCTAAAATTGATGTGTGCCAAAACGTATCTCCGACGGACGATCTTAATATCCATTTAGGAAGCACCCTAATGCATTTGGAATGCTAATTATTCCATCAATTCCTACTTGGCGGTGTTTGGCAAGTTTCAGATATAAGTGTAATACTTTTCCAGGAAACAAGAAGCAATACTTCATTTCCTATGCGTAATGCCCTTAGTCATGGAGAACTCTTGAATAGAGTAAACAAGAATGGCACTTTGGTTACCACCTAGAATAATTTTTTTGAGGCAGGTCGTGTTGTCTTAAACCTCTTAGAAGAAATTTCCTCCCAAGATGTATCCTTGTCATGGTCCCCCTTGGTGGAATCACCAGTGGATAGCCTTAGTCGGTCATGAAATTTTTTACTCCGACCCTTTAAAGACAAACACTCATGATCTGACCTATTTTCTTGCATGACTTGGCTTGGTTGTGTCTGATTTATGCTTGAAGCATTGTTTCCCTCCAGGGTTACTTCTGTCGTTGCCTCAATAACATTTAAAGTAGGGTTTAATGGGGGAGGAGAGGGAGTATTCTTTGTTGCATGTGTCTTGTTCCTCACCATTGTATCATGAATTAGCCACATGTCATGTGAAAGAAAAATAGAATGTAATGATTAGATAAAATATTTTAAAATAACAGTAAATACAAACAAAAAGATGGATTCTCTCTCTCACCAAAAAGAATTTTCTTTTACACATTACTGCTTCTACCATTGATCATGTATCGATGTACCACCTCTTATGTTGCATGAACAACATATATGAAGGGCCAACTCCATCTTTATAACCCAATCTCTCCCAGAAGGTGAATAAATCCTCCTTCAATGACTCATCTTCAGTATTCAAAGTATCCGAATGAAATGAATATTGGTTCGGAGTTCAGAAGAAGTAGTCTCGAGTTCAAACTTTCCAAAATCTATCCTCACATATGGCCGAATCCAAACCAGGTGGAATAATTATCTCTTTGAAGAACAAATAAATTAGAATGTTCTTCCAGACTCTTGAGAATGATCTAGAAGTAATTATCCTTTTGAAATTCTTCCAACTATCATATAGACATCAAAAACCTTCTTTGGGTGACAAAGTGCGAGCAGTCCTTACCCATACTCTACTATAGCATAAGTATGTTTTATATTGAAGATGTTGAAGAATAACTTTAAAGTCACCACCCCACCTAATACTTGCACCAATATTTGAACACCTTCACGAAAACTTAAGCTACCGGGGTGCAGTTGAGAGTGAGTGATTCTCAAGTGATTCAATATCTCCACTTCAAAATCTTTGAAGGGGAGCCTAAATCTAAGCCTAGAAAACAGGCACTCATGAAAGGGCACTAAGAATTAATCAAAAGAGTTACACAATCTCTTATCAGGCTTGATATTATAAACAAACCGATTAGAGGACTACCCCACATCTTGATGGGCACCCTCTAAACTTTGAACACTATCGAAAACAGAAGATGTCCCCACCAACTCCACATCTACCCAAAAGTATAAAGCAGAGTCAAAGAGAAAATCAAGGTCTTTCACAATGTCAACAAAAAGAAAATGACCATCGTTAGCTCTAGAATGACCCCAGAAATCAAGATGCTCCTTAACTTCATTGTCGTTGGGTTTCCGTCCTTTCAAAGACCTTAAGGCTTTAATGTAAGAACCAACTCTCGGATCATCCAATACACTACAATGCATTTATGATCTTCCACGAGAAACACATAAGAGGATGGACCATGACCGACTTTTCATGCTAAGGGGGTAATCTAAGGTCTTCCCCCAAACTCTTCATACGGGATCATCTATGTTTCCACCAGAATAAAGATTTCTAGGTCACTACAACTTTCAACAGTACCCTCTCTGAATTCATAATTGTCACTAAGAACTATGAGATTGACAAGAGGGTGAATATATGTCAAAGGAGAAATACCCTTGTATTTTTTGGTCTACCACTCTTGTGCAAGATAAGATGTCACTTACGTCATCACCATTGGGTATGTTTATAATGTTTGCAGATTCATATTCTAAATTGGCCTTTGCTAAAAGAAAGAGCATGAAGCGACAACAATAAATGTGAGAGAGAGAGATGAAATTCTGGTATCAGATATGTGATATTGAATGAGATGACACGACATAAATATTTGTTTGCGAGTAAGGTGAAATAAAATCAAAATCAGTAAAAATACAAGAGATTGTTCACTCAATTCAGTGTACAACAACACCTACTTTGGAGGCTACCAAGCCAGAGACAAGTTCACTAAATAGTATCAATTCATAGACCCTCAGTAAACAACCAGTTTACGATCTAATCACTTAATCACTACCCAAGCTAAACTTCTACCTAAGACTCGCCTAGGTATGAGGTCATCCTCAAATCCCTTCAATCACTTACAGTGAAGAACTTAACAGAATTAATAAGTTTGAAAACTTCAATCATTCAATGCCTAAAAGCTTATGAATGATACACAATTAACAACCCAAATAACAACTCAAGTATTTAAACTAATACTTAGAGTGTATTACGAATAAAAACTCTAGACTTCTAATCAGAAAGAAAGTATTCTTCTTCAAAAGTTGCTTGTCTTTGAATAAGGAAGCAAGTCCTTATATATGCGAAGTTTTGGGCTTGGGTTTAAAAATAAATATTCAAATATTTTGAATATTTCCATAAAAATAGGCCAAGATAAAATTATGCAATTTGAAAATTATTCCTCCATATTTTTCGCAACCTGTAGATCACAAATCTTGAATTATATAGTGCTGGAAATAAAGAGATAAAAGACTTAACTGATTTTGGGCTGAGATCAGTTCAGTAGGCAGATGTCAACACATCTGCTTTGACATCATTCAAAACATTTTTGCTCCAAATGTTAAGACATTTAGCAAAATATTAACAAGTCATTGTTTTACCAAAATTGCTGCCAACAAACACTTACGAACTCCCCCCCCCCCCCCCCCCCCCCCTTTGGCAAATTTTGGCTAAAACTTGTTAGAGCATATTATTAGAGCAGCAGCATAAGCAAGGCAATCAAAACATTCATTCAGTTAGCAGTCAATTGTTAGCACTGGAAGATGTTAAAACATCTTCTGGGACATGAGGCTCCCCCTCAAGTATTGATCTCCCCCTCAATCAATGGTCAGTGGTCAGTCAGTGGTCAGTGGTTAGTCATTCACTCACTCACTTTCTCT